AGCACAGACTCTTGCATAACGCATAACACGTAATGCATAAGAATATGTACCAATGGAAGTTCTCCGTTTCTTTCCCTTCCATGTAATAGAGAACTCTGGTTGGTTCAATTTCTTATGCCTCATGTGTTATGCGTTATGAAAGAGTCTGTGCTCCCCGCTTAAGGCTTAAAACCCTATTGTAGATCCGGGGTTACGGAAGGTGTGTGCGGCAGCCTTAAGTAATGTCTTAGGGCTGCCGCAGACAAAATTTCTGTAATAGACCTTCTACAATAAGCCACAAGTCAGAACGTCAGAAGTCTTAACCAGTCTTAACCAAGTCGTTCAAGTTGGCCATTGGCTTAAGATCGCTTAGAACTTCTGACTTGCGGCTTATTGTAGAAGGGCTGTTACAGTAACCTTAAGACGTAAACTTAAGCCAATGAGCTAATCAGGATACTGCTTTAGATTTACTCTAACCCCGGATCTACAATAGAGTTTTAAGCCTTAAGCCATAAGAAATGGACAAATCATAATCGATTATTCTCCCCGAATTGGTCTGCCATTGGTCAATTTCTTACGGCTTAAGGCTTAAAACACCTATTGTAGATCCGGACTAATGGAAATAGAAATAGCAGTAAATTTATACATAAGGCAGGGTGGCACCCAGTTGGATACGGCTCAATTGGACACGAGCCACTCACAGCGCTTGAGACTACAAAGCTCCTAAGCACCGGTCGCTGTGATTGGTGGTGTCCAATCGAGACGTGATCAATCGGATCACCCCCATAAGGCGAGGATGTGTGCGGAAGCCCTTAAGACGGTCTTGAAATAAGAATCTACTATGAATACCAGCCAATATATGATAAAATAGGTTGGGCATGCGCATGCGCATTGCGAAAGTACACGAATTGTGGAAGTGAGAAGCAATTGTCTGCACCGTGACATTTGCTGCAGCTCTTAATTGCCGTTAGCAATATAGTAGTATTACATATACGACTTTTCGCACTTTTATCTCACGTGAGTTTATCCGCGTGAGGATGTTGTCCCATGACAATCGGATTTCGAAAAACGGAATCTCGGAAAAGTACTAGACCGAAAAATACTAGACTAGAATCAGAAGACACGGCTGACGGCAGTGTCTTGGCAAGTTAGCACGAGCAGTGATATATGCGTTGTGTTCGTCATAGTTCGTTACGGTTAAAAATTAATAATTGTTAATAAAATAATTATTAATAAATAATTTTTCGGTAAATATTGATTAATATA